GGCCCTGAGCTGGACACAGCACTGCAGGTGGGGTCTCACAAGAGCAGAGTAGAGGGGCAGAATCACCTCCCTCGACCTGCTGGCCACACTTTTCTTGATGCAGCCCAGCATATGGTTGACTTTCTGAGGTGTGAGCGCACATTGCTGACTCACATCCAGCTTTTCATCCACCAGTACCCCTAAGTCCTTCTCCCCAGGGCTGTAGACACTAGCCTTGACAGCTGCTTCTCACCTGCCAGTCAGAGCTGGAAGAGGCTGAAAAACGAACAGAAGGGTCTTGTCCCCCAGCAAGGCGCTCACGCCGGTTTCACTGCCTCTGCTTCAGGGAGAAGAGCTAGAACATGAGCCAGCAGTGTGCCCAGGTGGCCAAGAAGGCAATGGCATCCTGGCTTGTGTCAGCAATAGCGTGGCCAGCAGGGACACGGAAGGGATCTGAGCCCTGTACTCGGCACTGGGGAGGCCGCCCCTCGATTCTGGGTTCAGTTTTGGGCCCCTCACCCCAAAAAGGCCATTGAATGACTCGAGCGTGGGCAGAGAAGGGCAACGGAGCTGGGGCAGGGTCTGGAGCACAGGTCTGCTGGGCAGCGGCTGGGGGAACTGGGGGGGTTTAGTCTGGAGAAGAGGAGGCTGAGGGGAGACCTCATCGCCCTCTACAGCTCCCTGAAAGGAGGGGGCAGAGAGGGGGGATGAGTCTCTTTAACCAACTAATAAGCCATAGGGCAAGAGGGAATGGCCTCAGGTTGCACCAGGGAAGGTTTAGACTGGATATTAGGAAGCATTTCTTTCCAGAAGGGGTTGTTGGGCGTTGGAATGGGCTGCCCAGGGAGGTGGTGGAGTCCCCATCCCTAGAGGGGTTGAAGAGTCAGGTTGACATAGTGCTGAGGGATCTGGTGTAGTTAGGAACTGTCAGTGTTAGGTTAATGGTTGGGACTAGATGATCAAGGTCCTTTCCAACCTAGATGATTCTGTGAACCTGTGCAGCGTGTTTTGCTAAACTTAACAGCTCTCCCTTGCAGTCTCAAGAGGCAGCTTTAGCTGTGTCTGTTCAATTTGGTGTTGTCAGAGCATTGAAGTTACTCAGTGCAGAAGTGTTACTATGGTGGGTTACACTGAGACATACTTTGTCTGGTTTTTGGTTTAATCACTTGTTTGGTTTGGGAGAGTGCACCATCATCACCTCTGTGCTGATGTTGTTAAAGGTTTGCTTTAGGTCTTGTGCCACGTTTGAGTTTATAGCATTGTCAGGTAAAGCCAACTAACAGTTTCATTGATATTCGTGTCCACCTCCTGTTTTGAACAGAGATAAATGGACTTTTTAGCAATAGAGCTGTTTACTGTTTCTCAGCATAGGGCCGTGTCTCCCCCCTATATTCTGGTGTTCCTGACTGACAGAGCAGTAGTTGCAGACACTTCGTCCCTGTTTTAGTGCAAGGCCCTTGGCTAGAAGTGTGCAGTTGTCAGTATTTCTAAATGATTCTCTAAAGGGCTGGGATACTTGGTAACAGTTTTAAACTAAACTGAAAGAGAGTAGATTTAGATTAGATAAGAGAGTCCCTGGCACAGGTTGCCCAGGGAAGTTGTGGCTGCCCCCTCCCTGGAAGGGTTCAAGGGCAGGTTGGACGGGGCTTTGGGCAACCTGGGCTAGTAGAAGGTGCCTCTGCCAGTGGCAGGAGGGTTGGACTAGATGAACTTTAAATGTCCCTTCCAACACAAACCATCCTATGATTCTACTGACTCAAACCCAATTTTGTAGCACACTGGTATTCCTGCACACATAGATGAAGCCCAATAGGACAGGAACGAGCTCATCCAGTATAGGTGCTTTTCAGCTGTAGTTTTATGAATAATGCAAGCTGGAATAAATTGAGGCTAAAATTGGTGATATCACCTTTTTTTTTTTTTTTTTTCCCCCCCCCAGGTCCTTGTTGTTTTGTTGCTCTTCTGCTGTGCTGGCAAAAATATTTTTTATATTGAACTGGTCTGGCTGAAAAACGACCTTATTATGGCCAGTTTATTGTAATGTGCAGTCTGGTCTGAGTTGAGATCATCCCTACACATTGCTTCTGGTGAGGTGTGAAGTGCTGCCCCATCCTCTGCTGCTGCAGTGCAGGCCTGTGGATGTGCTCTCATTTCCTATTGCAGGATGCAAGACTCTTCTCCTTGTTTAACAGATCCCAGAACAGCCTGATGAGATGGAAAAAAAGCTCTTGAGAATGTTTCTTTGTTCAGGGGTTTTGTGTGTTTTGTTAAGGAGAGCTTACAAGGAAAGAAACTGAGAAAAACATCTGCCATTATACGTTAAACATCACGCATCAAGTAGATGTGATGTATTCTAGGGATTTACTGGAATACAAAGGATAAACAAAAGCTTCAGGCATGTGAAATACCTTTTAAAACACCTGTTGCTTTAGCCGTAAGAATATGAGGATGCTCGAATAATCAGACTTTAGTTTTAGACTCATTTCTTGCATTAGTTCTTGTCTCAAGTGGAACACCCGGCAGAGGTCGTTTAGGTAAACCCCTGTGTGAAATTGTGAGGCTGGAGCAAAAGCTGAAGTTTTGTTAATTGTTAGGTTCACGGCTTTAAAATCTTCTATAAGTCTTGTATGCGCTTGTCCTCTCCCTGTTATACAACCCTATCTGATGCCCTGTCTCTGTTACTCGTGTTGTAGTTTTAAGGATGCTTTACTTTTGGTAATGTTTAATTCTCAAAGTTTGTTCAGTCTAAACAACAGAAGTTGATGGATTTGCTTTAATTTGTCTAGAAGAAATCCCTAAAGCGCTTGGCACAGTTTGAAGTCATTGGAACTACTTGGGCACTTACAGTTAAGCAAAAGACAAAACTGATTGGAAAAGAGTCAGTTTGGTTGTTTAATCAGGACTGTTCTTGGTTGTTCTCTATAGTATCATTATAGCATGAGCTGGAAGCTCCCCGGTGGATAGTTTTTCTTTTAAGGGCAGCTTTGTGTCAGCTGTTGTGAGCTGGGGAGCAACTAAGGGAGTTGTATTTTGGATGCTATTACTTTTGCTTGGTGCCTTGGTACTGATTTAAATTTTAATTTCTTTTTAAGGGAAATGTTACTTTTCATTGAAAAACTCTAGCCTGACATGTACATGGTCAGTTCTACTGTTTTGCTGTTACAAAGAACTGCTGTGCTATTTTGATTCTTTTAGTCAAACTGGACAAGAATGCTTCTAAATTTTTCTTTTTTTATTTTTTTCCCCCCATGGGACACTGTAGCTGTCTTGATTTTGCGGTGTAAGGAGAAACTTCCAAGGCATTAATTTTTATTTTTCTTTTGCATTAATATGGTGGGTTTTTTCACCTGAATTTATTGGCTGCAGCATCATTGTTTTAGCAGTCTAATGGTTTAGGGCACGTAAACAACTAGGAAACAAATTTCAATTGGAACCTGTCTACAGGTGGTACAGCCACAAAAATTGGTACTAAATCATCAAAACAGTCTTCAGTGTGTTGTCATAAAAAAACTGTGCATTACTGACATCTCCCGTTTCAGTAAGAAGTGTTTTGAAGGAGCATCACTAATAAGAATATGTACTTTGTTAAAATGCTTTTCATCTTCACAGTGCTTTGCCGCTTTCTGTATTCTCAGCTTCCCAGAGATGCACATAGATTTTAGCACCCTGTTGTACCCAAGAGGAGTGTTGATGTCTCTGCTTAAGGATTTGTTTCTCTTTGCTTTGAAGTCTGTAGAAAAACTGACACTGACTGCTTCTCTTTTTATTATTTTTGTTGCCCCTAAAGAAATACTTACTTTGATTTCAATAAGAAATTGAAACAAGCCTGAAGTAGCATGTCCAGCTCAGCTGGAAGAAGAGCACAACTACACAAAGTCCATGCCAAGAAATAACAAATTTCTTTTTCCTTTACTTCTAGGGCTGGGTCCGCTCTGTCCGATCCCAGAAGGAAGTTTTGTTCCTGCATATAAATGATGGGAGTTCTCTGGAAAACCTCCAGGTGGTTGCTGATCCCAGCCTGGAAAACAGGTTGGTCAGTTTAAGATACCTGGAGAAATACCTGTGCTGATCAGTGCCAGGTAGGGAAAAGTCTGCTGGCACCTGAGCACAGAAAAGGCACTGCTGCAGGCTGGTGTCTCTGGAGGAGTTTTAAGGATGGAGAGCGTCCCACTACTCTGTCTCCACTTAGCTGAAGCCTTTGTGGTTCAGTTGCTTGTCCTGTAAGACCAATTTGGACCTAATTTTCTTAATAGCTGTAGCAGTGTGGGCGTTCTGGGCTACTCTTGGATTTGCATGGAAATCACACAATGTAGCTGGGGATAACTGTCCCGTAGGTCTTGGAGAGTGCTGTTGCTCTTCCTGTAACAACTTCAGGGCTGGCTTGGTGGGCATACCCCCTGGATAAGCATGCCTGTTCTATTATAATAAAATGCTGAGCTTGTTTTACAGCTTCATTTTGTTTGTTGTTCTCAAACAAAAGTTTTGTTTGTTGTTTGGGCTAGGGTTGGGACTTTCAGGATGATCCAGGAACCTCCTGCATGTAACTTGATTTGAAATTTTTTTTTACCTTTTTTTTATAAGCCATGTTTGTCCCCACCAAGAGCCACTTCTAATAAAAGCCTGTCTCTTTTCCCCTCACTTGTCCAACATTCCTACCTTGTCCTAAATTATTCTATATCTTTGTGGATCTGTTCACATTCCCACTTATACATTTAATAATTCCTCATTTCATCAGTTAAGCCCTATGGCTACAGTATCTCTTGTGATCTCAAGTGGTCCAGCTAAATTAACAGGAATCACTCTTCTGAATGTAATTGACTTGATATCAGCACCTAGTTAAGCTGTTGTTTTTTCTTGGTTTCTTAGAGACCTGACTTTTGGCAGTGCAGTGGAAGTACAAGGGAAACTGGTTAAAAGTCCTCATAAGATGCAAAACATGGAGCTGAAAGCTGAAACCATCCGTGTGGTGGGACCTTGTGATATTTGGGTATGTCACTGCAGCAGGAGTCCCAACTGGTAGGACTGCTTTGGAAGTTAAAAGGTCCAAGTGTCCAGCAAAGCATGCTTCAAACTCTTATTTTTTTTAAAGTCTGAGTGGTCCTTCTGGCTTTGATTTGGTGCCTTAAGGTTGTCAAAGGGAAAACATGGGATCACTGTGAAAGCTCTCTCTTCTGGGGCAGAGCTGTTTCTGTGTGGAGACTGGCGAACATACTGGCAGCTAAGCATGTGCATTTGTCCCACCCTGAAGCACTTACCTGTGCCAGGTGGTTTACCTGATAAGTCTGGCTGGGATATGAATTGGAGAAGCAGTGGGACTGGCAAAACACTCTAGATTGTGCAGGTGGAAGAACCATTTCTGCTACAGGCATATTTGGAATCGCCTCGCTGTTGCAGTAGTGAGATGAACAACTGGCTTTGAAGGGGACTCAGCATCCAAAAAGTGGAGCATTTCAGAGCACTGTTGCCTTCTCTTGTGTTCATGGCTCTTGCTCTGCCATAAGCGTTCTAAAATCCACAAACTAACTAGAAAAGATAGGCAAAAGCATCTAGTTCTTCTCTGCTTTCAACTGACAATGGAGTTTTAGTAAGGAGAGGTGGTACTCCATGAATAGCCATAGAACTATATTGACTTTCAAGTTCTCATCCTCTTCTTTCCTTGTTGTTTTTAGTCATTTCCCCTGAAAATGAAGGAGAGGCACCCACTGGAGTATGTCCGGCAGTTCCCTCACCTGCGATGCAGAAACAACACGCTTGGCTCCCTCTTGCGAATCCGCAGCGAAGCCACTGCAGCTATCCACTCGTTCTTCCAGGTAGTCTCTTCTCTACTGAGCCTTATGTGTGAAACACTCCCACAGTTTGGCTTCACGGGAGCACACTGGGAGGGAGGGAGCGGGACATCTTGACTGCAGGGTGTGGATTTTGGACACGGTGGTTCTCTTTCCAGGCCTGGGCCTGGCTGAGGCCTTGGCCAGACTGTTGCTTATGATCAGGTGGTCATGTTAGTGTCTCTCCACCCATTTACTGTTTGTTATTTCATCCCTTTCAATATAATTGTTGCAGTATAATTACCTCTATGTGTGGTCTGTGGAAAACAACGTAATATGGAGCAGTGACCTTATGGTCCTTGGATGGAAGCCTCCTCCCACATGGAGAAATCTGTGGTGCAGGAAGGCTACCAACAAACTGACGCAGAGCTTCATGTTATTCTTCTCAGTTTTTAACCTTTCTATTACTGCCTTACAAGTCTGTGCAGATGCTGTGAGCTGACATTAGGAGACTTCTGTTTGGATGCCTTTCAAACTGATGGGTGGGAGACACCTGTGTTTTATGAGTGTGTCACTCAAGCTGTGGGCATGGTCCAGCCTTTGTGCAGGCGGTGGGGGCAGTGAATTAACTCTGATGCCAGGTGCCATACAGAGAGTGTGCAATTCTTTGTGTGAGTAGATAAAAAAGGTAGCAAGTAAGTCCTCTAGCGCACCTGAACATTTTCTTTTAAAGCTCTTCATTGAACATTCATGTTTTAGTTTAGATAAACTGGCTTTAGTTTGAGTAGGATCATATTCAGAGCTTTCTGATTACAAAATTCCTATGTAGTGATTAGTATGGCCCAAAGAACACGTCAGAATTGTTGAGATTGAGTTCTGGTCCCAAACACACTGGTATTTGTCACCTGCAGTGGCAAAGAAGGCTTGCTCGCTCTAGCAGTTATCTGTATGGAATTGCACGTTTGTTTTTTGTTTTTAAGAGCCTAATAGAAATACTGTGTCGGGTAAAGCTGCTGGTGGTGTCAGCGTTGTCCCAGGTGGCAAGACAGAACCCAGCTCTGTCGGGAATCATTTTTTTCCGGTAGGGAGCCACTAGATGGCATTGCCGACAGCAGTTTGTGATTGCAAACGTGGACAAGGAAACCAGCCGAGATAGGAAAAAGCATGTTATTTTGACAAAGGCTTTACTTCTCCAAATTGACTCTAGCTCAGACTCTGACAGAGCTTCCAGTTTAAAATGCTCAAGAGCTGAGCAGTGTTTAAAAAAATACAATATATTAATTTAGCAGCAGCAGCTACACTGAAGTGATTTTTAAAGGGATAAGGAAAATCTGCTCCCAGACCTGATATTGGCGAATGCTTGTGTCGCACCTCTCCTGGCACCAGGAACATCTGTGGTTTGCTCTGTGCCTGATGGAAGGAAAGCAGTCTTTTTAAATTGCCACCTGCATCATCCCAAGAATGTTGCAATTTCTGACTTGACAGTGTCAGAATATACCATAACTAGAAGGTAAAACCAGAGTCTTTTCACTTTGCAAAGCTTTAAAGAGCTTAATGGTGAAAGAAAATGTGGGGTTTTTTGAACACACGCTCGAAATTATCTAGACTCTCTGTAACTTTAAAAACTTTTTTTTTAGCCTATTCACTTCCAGCAGTGAATGACTAATGGAAAACACCTTTGGTTTGGATGTTGAAGGCTAAAATGTCATCTTTAAATCTTCTCCTGAGTATTGTGGTCCATGTGGGATAGGAATGCTCTTCCTGGACATAGTAAAATAGTCATAATGTGAATGACAACCTCCATTTTGCATATTAACTAACTTCCAGGTTTGTCAGAGCCACTAATGTCACTTGAAGTATTTTAGGAGCTTTTATAAGAGGAACTATCCAAGAGATTTTAATGGGATTTTCATCTTTCAGACCTGTGCAGTTCACATTCCTTTGCAAAGCTTGTAAGGGGTCTTCTGTGTGAAATGTGCTTCTTTACAGCAACTGCTACCACTAGATGAGGAATTTAGGCAATTTTCCAAAATCTTGTGTAGGTTTGAGAAGCCACAGACTATGCATGGGACTGTGGCAGAGACCTGCATTTTATATTGGTAGGCTGAAACTACCCTCCCCAGGCAAATCGAGTCATTTGGACTCCAAAACTTCTTTCAGTGTAGTAACTGGATCTCAGTGAGAAGCTCCTGCCAGGCACTCAGCAAGCCAAGGGCTTTGCACCTGTAACCAAGGTAGCCTAGACCCAACTGCAGGGACTTTGCTCCCTTTTGGTCCTGTTACAGTACTTCCACAAAATGCATTGCATGTCTGTACAAACTCTTTGGTCCAAATTGATTTTGGTTTGATTCTTGGAATGGTCAGTAAATCCTGCTTCTATCTTTCTAGCCTTTTAACTAGCTGGTGATAAGGACAAGGACCTGTCATGTGAATAGTTGATTGGTATTATTCTGGTAAAAGCTGTGAAACCAAGCTTTTGGAAACATTTACTTTATCTTTTTTTTATTAGTCTTTTGTGTAGGTAGACAATGGGTTATGGTGCATCATGCCTGTATCATGGTAATGTTGGCACACTCTGATTTTAAAGGGGTTCCCTTTATGCTAGACATTACAGTGATGCAAGAGAAAATAAATCCTTTGTTGAAGGTTCTTGTTTGCCGTGACATGCGCAGGTATGATCTCTGTGCTGCACCAGTGATCTCTATAGCAAGACTTATGTTAAGAAGGTGATGGTTAGTAGTTCTGTTTGCCTCTAACATGCTGTATGTGATTGTCCGAGCTCTGTGTGATATACCCATCCACTGAAAACTGGGTTGCAGCTGGTTTAAAAGCCTATGGCTGCACTGCAGAGAAACCCAGAGAATAGGGGCCCTTGCTTCATACAGCCTTTCCTGGTTTTGGAGGCTTCTGCTGGATCTGTGAGCTATTGCATGAATGGCTCCAGGTTCCTAGAACATGACCAAGCCAGGGTATACCCTGTCTCTTAAAGTCATTTTGACTTTGATATCAGAAGATGCGAGGCGTGACTGACATTTTTGTGGTGGTTGGGTGTTTTTAAGGCTTGTCTCCCATGCAGGGTGTGGTTTCTGTTGTCTAAAACACTTGATCATTTCTCTTAGTAGAGAATACCAAGTGTGTCCTCCGCCTAGCACAGTTTTCCAAAAGCTGGGAGAAACTCGTAGTTCAGGCTGTAGGGGTGAATTTGATTGAAACTGCCCAAAAATATAAAAATAGTGGAGGAAGTGAGAAGAAAAAAAAAAAAAAGGAACGTTGTGGAAATGGGCAGCTGCAAAAACCTGTAGTAATGACATAAATCTTATTTCCTTATGAAACATGGAGAAAAAAGCACAAGTAGTAAACACTGGTTTGTAAAGCATTCTAGCATTTAGTTAGTCTTCTGTCTTTGTCAATGTAAGGCAGAAGTTGCCTAAAGGAGTCCATATGCTGTCCTGGTTGGGGGCTAATAGCTGAGTTATGATGTGTGCTGGGTGATGTCATCTTTGAAGTTGACATTTGATATCTTTAGCTAGTTAACTTTAGTGTTCTGTCTGTTCCAGGATAATGGCTACGTGCATATTCATACCCCCATAATTACATCAAATGACTGTGAAGGTGCTGGGGATCTCTTTCAAATTGAGGTAAGTTGGGTTGTGTACAGTTTGTTTTGATTTTTTACTTGCAGAGCAATTCTGGAGTCACTGAACGGTAGAGGAAATGTTTGGCTTTACAAAACCTTTCCTTTATGTACTTCTGTGATTATTTTTTTTAATATAGCAGTCCTTTGCTTCAACTAATAATTTAGGCAGAGTTAAATAGATTCATTACTTTTTATTGCTCTTTTGTGCATTAATCAGCACCTTTTTTACTGATGCTGTGGAAAAGTTTACAAAAAACAGCAGAGGGTGGTGGAACATCTTAGTAAGTGGAAAGATGTGATCATAAGAGCCCGAGAGATGGGATGCGACATTCAGGACACGTAAATATTTCTTAGCTTTCAAATGAAAAATATAATTCACTATGAGAGTACTCCTTAAAAGGAAGTCACCAATACCTAGAACTGCTTTTCACCTGTGTGTATATTCCTCCCTACAAGCTACTCCTGTTGTATGTCAGAAGTCTCCCCCAATATTATGAAGTCTCCCCATCCCTCCACCAAATTACTGCCACAATCTATCAATATAGGAAGTAGTTCATGTCTTGGATCAAAACCTCCTATGAAACTTAAACAGAGCTATAACTCCTAAGATCTTTCCCAGAGATTTCTCACGATTCCTAACCCCCATATCCATGAATCACAAGAAATTCCATCTGCCTTTTATACTTCTATATTTGAAATTCACTCTTCTGTCTCAAACAATTACATCTATTGCCACTTATGCTTATTGGCTCTAGCCTTGCTGGTGAATCATCTGTAAGCAAAAGAAAAATTGTTGAGGTAGCAGTTGCTTGCTGTGAGATTGTGTCTTCCACTCTCTGCAAAGCCTGATGACAGAAGGCCTCTGTGTGCTGGTTCTTCAGGATCTCTGGGTCTAACCTGTGCTACTAGTGATTCCCTTCCAGACCAGTACATGTGGCTCAGCTTTCTACTTGCTGGGACAATAGAGCTGATTAGCTAAACTAAATTGTTACTTTTTAATTGAGATCCCTTAATGCTACCAAAGGTTCGTTCCAGGCTGTTGCATGCAAATTAAGATGTGAAAACAAGTGACACTTAATGATGAGAACATTATACAGTTTGCAGCTGTACAGTGTATTACGTCTTTGGTACAAATTGTATCCACTTGAAAGCTGTAGAGGATGCAGGACTACAGCGTAGGTGGCTGGTAGTACCAGAAGCACTGATGCAAATGTTGATTGAGGTGCTAAATTGTGAGTCTGAAACTTGTATAAACTGGATCTTAGCTAAATGCATAGCTCAAGGCAAACCTCTTGCTCTCTCGCCAGTGTGATTACTTAGGTGTAAATAATACCTGTCTTGGAGAAATTTTGTGCCAGCTGTGCTTGAAAGGTGTGGATTAAGTGTGGAGTCAGATCCCATTAAATGGCATGGGCCATAAAGAAAGGGCTTCAGAAACCCACTTGCTGCTGGGAAGTGGGAAATTCTCCCTGATTTCCTGTTTCTTCTTTGTGTAGCGCTTCCTTGGCCTAATTTAGGACTTGGTTTTGTTTCTGCAAAGCTCTGTTCAGAATTGGTCTTGGCTAGCAAGAGATCCAGGACCACTTGCTATCCTGGTGTCACCACTTCAGTGGAGCAGTGACACTTGTTTCTTGACACTGGAAATCTGGGGAAGGTTAAGCCTGCCTTGGGCCATGCATGCAAGGCTGTCAGACATAAAAATAAGGGTGACAGAAGGATGTCGGACATAAAAATAAAGGTGTGGTATTTGCAGCAAAGCTTAGAATCTCTCTGTGCTTTTAATCAAACCAACCATCAAGACATTGCTGTGTTCAATCACTTTTTAAACTAGCCCTTAATTCACTGCTTGCACAAGCCAAGGGAGAAAATAAATTCCTGTTCCTCTTATATTTGAGCAGTTGCCAGGAATTATGGTGATGGGAATCAATGAAAGCAACCTGCAAATTAGGTTCTTCAATTTAAAAAATATTTAAATCCTGTACTTGAAACTTTAAGACTATTCTCCAGTTGTGACCAGAACATAAATTGGTGTCCTATTGCTCCTGAATTTGTAGTAGATACAATACACCTGCCACTTACGGGGTTTTTTTTTCCTGCCTTACTTATTTTTAGCTCTCCCAGAGCTCATCAGTTTAGCTGTCCTGCTGTGGGTAGAATAAGTTGAAAACTTTGAGTACCTTTAGGACCAGAGTAGAGGCTGGTTTTGCGCCCACTGTGAACCATTCCCTTTTAATAGCTGTCTTCTCCTGACTGGCACAATTTTAATCCTCTGACTAATGTCTGATGGCTGCTCAGACACGTGCAGTCTTTGGAAATGGTGGAAAGTGAAGAGGGTAGGAATCTGATTTTACATGAGATTTGAAGAGATGGTGAAAAATGTATCTTGAGTTAGCAGGAAAAGGCTTTTTGAAGACATATGTTCTTTTGATTCCTAGACCTCTTAATCCTGTAGGATTCGTGTTTGTTTATATGTTCAGCTGCCTCATTATCTTTGTTTGGTTTTGGGCATACCGAATAGCCTGTATGTAGCTTTGCCTGGGATGTTCTCGTATTAGGACTTGGGATGTGGGAGAATCCCTTCCCTCTCTGCTGGACAGATTGGTTTAGCTAAATATTTTTAAAATGAAGTACTGTAACAGTGAAAAGAGGGTGGTAAGCAGAGGAGATTTTAAAAAATAAACTGCAAGATAGTAAGAACTCCAGATAAATATTTTCCAGTTGAGACTTTCTGCACCTGAAAAGTGTAGTTTTGAGAAGAAATTTGAAGAGAATCTGCCAGAAGTGTGAAAATGGCCAGGCAGACCCTAACCCACATGGAGAACATCAGCAACACCAACTTGTGGATTTCTTCACCTTTTGATAGTGTCTGCCTTTGAAATCCTGGAGGGGGGAAACGTTTCACTTGTGCTGCTGCCTTTAAAGTAAATTTACTGAAAACACTAAAAGAGCTTTGAATATTGAAAGCTGTGTTTTAGTAGAAGGCAAAGTAGGGCGAGGTAATTCTTGAAATAGGGGGGACGCAGATCAGCGGGGTGAGATGGCCCTCTTAAATTAAATCTGAGAATAATTCCTCTGTACCAACAGTTTTAGCACTTCAGGGCAGATCCTTTCCTGTTTTTTTTCTTTTTTTTTTTTTTTCGTCTGAAGTCTAAAATTCTTTAACAGCTTTGTATGTTGCAAGACGCTTTACCCAGTCCCCTTCTGGGGCTGCTTCCTAGGAAATCTGCCTTTCTTTTGTCTTTGTGACCCGGCTGCATGTCTGTTCCCTGCTATTTTCAGTAGCCTCCCACTCTGTCTGCAGCGTTGAAGGGCTCCCTGCTTTCTGGGTCTCTTGGTCTGTTTTTTCCACTTTGCTCCCTGGAAAGTTTCCTTGTTTGACTGTCCTCAGCTGCTGTGAGAAGGTGGAGGCTCCTCTATGTTCTGAAAGAGTCTTTCCAGCCCAGAACACTCACGCTAGTATGGTGAGGCCCTGGACAGCCACTTTCCCTGCTGCCCAGCTGCAGTCTTTTAAGAGCTCAGCATGCAGTGAGGTAACAAAGCACAACAGCTGTATTGGCATTCACAGCTCTTTAAAGTAGAACTCCTGTGTAGTTTGTGTAGCCTGTGGCCTTATTCCTTCCTGGGGACCTTGCTGTAGGTGCAAGGAGTGATGCATTCTACCTGTTGGCTCCAGCAGAGGTGATATATGCTCTGTATCAGGCTTGTCTCTTCCCACACACATACCTCACTGCATCTGGGTGGTGGCTGACTGAACCCAGGGTCTGGATCAGGCTGTTTCATTATTTGAAAGGACACTTAACTGTAAACCCAAAGAACCACCCAGGAATTGTTGTTCTCTAAAATGTATCCAGAGATTGTATGGTGTTTGGCTTTTCTTGCTACCCACTGACAGGAGTAAATGTAGAAGTTGCACCCTGAAGGGATGGAAGTTCATGGCTGTACCTACTGTGGCTCCAGAAATACATGCCTGCTGCTGAAGATCCAGAAGCTTACTCCTACTGTTCCTTTGGTACTGCTGAAAAATAACCTTGTCAGCACCAAGGAAGGCTGGGATCTGCTGGAGAGAATCACAGTTAAATGCAACAGAATTAGTGTCTGTCAGGTGTTTTCCCCTTTAGAGATGTGTCACAGTCTGGGAGGCAGCCAGTCCCTGGGAGACTGGGACTTCAGAGAGATGCTCAGCAGGGATTGGGGTAAGCTGAAACTGAGTGGAGGGAGGGCTTGCTCTTGCATTTTCTAACTCTCCCAGTTTCTGCTTGTTCCTGCTTAGTTCATCTTTGCGTGTAATTCCTGTCCATGTTTATGAGCTGATTGTCTCAACAGAACCAGTTGCTACTGCCCAATGCAGGTCCAGCTGATCAGAAGTAGGACTGGAATTGCAAGGAGAACTTCTTGGAAGTGATGAATTTTGCAGTTGTTGTCTAAAAAGGAAAACTGAATCATGTTTATAATGGGACATCAGGGCCTGTCCAGATTAAAGATGTGGTGCTATGAAACTTCAGCAGGATGGTGTTGTGGGCCTGGGCTAGAGAAGTGATTTCTATGAGCGTTTAAAGTCTTCTCTGATCCCTTCATGCATTTGGCTTGCATAGAGTGAAAGACAGAATCAAACGGTTTATACACTCCTGAAACTAATTGCCTCAAGTAAAAGTTAATACAAGGCTGAAATCAAAGAGAATAATTTTAAATTAAATCATTAGACATTTGAGGAGATGGAGAACAAAACAGGTACTAAATCCAGTTGTTCTCGTATTTGGAATGAGAATAAAAAGCCTTTGATGTTAACGTTGAATCCTAGTATGTTTATAGCACGTTTACTCTGAGACACCAAGATGTTTCTTAGAGATTCCCTCTCTCTCTTTCCCCACTGTAATTTGGGTGCTTTTCAACTAGAGAGAAGTTGAAAGAAAACACATTATTTCCCCCCCTAATCTTTTAGCAGGTAGGTATATTGGGATTGAGAAGCGTGAGAAAACTTTATCTAATTGAAATAAAAGCACCACAATGTTGTCGCTTCATTTTGCTAGTCAGGGATGTGCAAAACAAATCTCTGTGTCAGCAGTGAAGGGATAGCATCACCTGCTATTTATTATTTGTCTTCTACCAGTGGCTATGGTTGTTTATTATAAGAAAACAGGCTTGATCAAAAAGGCTGAGCATAAATCTGGGGCACAGACACTTGAAAACATTAGCCTGAATGTGTAAAGTGGAGAAACCACCTCTAGTGGGTTAGTCAGTGTTTGTACATGTGAAAAGTTGCTGATCGCAGGATACCTCCTTGCTGAAGGGGTCCCTTCTGATGGAAGAGGGAGGAATTTAGTTTTCCCTGTGTAGCAAGTGGATTGATTTTTTGCAGCTCACAACACGCATTTGTCAAGCTTTGTCTCTCAAAATGAGGAAGTGGGCAGCTGTGGAGAGGCGAGGTGATCGAATGGTGATGGGGGAGTGAAATTTTGTCTAAATATCGCAATGTTCAGTCTTCACCTTCTGTTGGAAGCTGTCCAGGAGCTGCTCACAATGGAGACACACAACTCAGGATCTCTCCACAGCCCCTCAAGCTGGTTGCAGGTTTTTATAAGTCCAGTTGAGCTGTAGACTTTCTCACACTCTTCCTCCAGTCACTTACTGTTGTGTCTATTTTCCCTTTGCCTCCCTGAGATTACATCTGATCTGGAGAATGAAAAATGACACGAAGTCATTATAAATAAACCAAGCTCCAGCTCCTGAGACAGCTGTATCCTGTTTGTGGATTTGGAGGGAAGTGTTGAGATTTCATGGCTGATGTCTTCTGTTCTTTTCCTGCTTCCAGTCTGTGTCTCTCCTGTTGTTTAGAAGTTGCATCCTACAGGATTAGGTGGGATTTTTTTTCACTGGTGGAACAAGGAATGTAGCTGAATTTAACTTGCAGTAGGAGAAACTGGAGTGGTACGTGGCTCTTCTCTTTAGTGTTCTGGCCGTGGGTCTGTGGTATGTGGATGTTTGTATGTTAATATCCTTATTGTTTTTGAGCAAATACTCTGGGTTTATTTGAAGAAAACAATAGAGGCCTGCTTCTGCATCCTTCGGTTTTGTTGCTTGGTTTTTTAGAACTGCAAAACCTATGAAACAAAGGAAGCAGTCCTGGGGTTACAGCCACAAATTGTCATATTTTCATTGATCTCTATGGTGCAAGGCAAGCTTGCTCTTCTCTTTAGTGTGATGCTGTGAAGAGATAAAACTGCCTTGTGATCTGAGGTCTTTGTCAGTCTCTGTTTTATCTTTGCGATGAGCAGCACTGCTTTTTGAGAACAAAAGCAGCATCTTCCAACTCACTGAGAAAAATGGCAGGTTGTAGAATATCAAAGGCTGGCAAACAAGCCCAAGCCTAGCAACCTCCCTGTGACAAAGCAAGCTGGGGAGTAGGATGGCTGGAGGCAGTGACATACTTAGCTGAGCTAGCAACACTTAGCATAATTTCTAGGAACTACACTTTGAAAAGAAGCTATTTCAAACTTATCTCAGTGTTTGGAAGTGAATGTAGATCAGCCGAACCTCAGATTAGCTTCAAAGTTCTTTTTCCTGAACATTTGACTCTTCCAGAGTTTAGGGATGACATTGAAATATCAACAGTGCTAACAAAAATCTCACTTATCTTCATGGGGCTTTTTTAAAAGTCACAGAATTGTGACCTCTAGAGATCATCTAATCCATCTCGGTGTGCTCAAACAGCGTCAGCTAGAGCAAGTTGCCCAGGTCACTGTTCTGCTGAGTTTTGAGTATCTCACCACATGGAAACTTCACAGCCTATCTGGGCAATGTGTTCTAGTGTTTGACCACTCACAGTAAATAAAAAGTTTATTCTTGTTTTCAGATGAAATTTTGTGTGTCTTTTTAAAAATCTGTGCCCATTACCTCTTGAACTCTGTGTGTGGAGCTGAGATGAGTCTCGTTCCTTCTTCATTCCCTTCCATCAGGTATTTATACACAGGGATAAGATATCCATCCCCCCTGAGCCTTCTCCCATCTGGACAGTCCCAGGTCTTTCAGCCTCTTCTCATATGCTGTAGTCCATTAATCATCTTCGTGGCCCTTTGCTGGGCTCAATCCAGGATGTTTGTGTGTCGCTTGTACTGGGAAAGCGAGCGCTTCACCCACAATCAAGGGATCCCCTCCCTGGACCTGCCAGCAGTGCTCTGCCTGACACAGCCCAGCAGGCTGGTGACTTTGTCGTGAGGGCTTCTTGGCATCTGCCAGGGAAATGGTGAAGCACAGTCCTTATGTTCAAATGACTTCTGAAGTGCTTGACACAGAGGTCTTTTAATTATTTTTTTTTGTGCCTGTAAATTAAAAACTGAAAAGATAACATCACTCTAATGGGCCTTTTTAGAGTGTTTTTTATAATGGAACACTGAACTTGCTAAATTTTCCATTACTCGTAGTTTTTTTTATGCTTAAAATATCCATTGACCTGAAAAAATTTGCAAAAGCTGAAATAAAGCATAGTTTGTTTTTCAATGCCTATATACGTGTAAGCTGTGATGTTTCCAACTCCATATGGTTTCAGTTCTGCTTTTTTTGAAGACTGAATAACAAGTCTTAAAAGGATATTGCTTTTTTTTTGATTACTGTTTGTCTTTTTGCAATGGAAACAAATTCATTTGCCCATGAAAAGAAAATAATGCTGCTTTAAAAAAAGGCTTTGCTAAAAGTCAGTGCACCTGACACGGAAAATTATCCTCCATTTTCTCATCAGACTTGAAATTGAATTTTGAAGGCAATTCTGTGTGAAGTTTCAAACTTCCAAATGATAGAGATTCTTCCCTTCCCCCTCACTGTTCATCTTGGTAGGGAAGAGTGAAAATCAATACTTATATTTGGAGTCTGGGTCGATTAGGCTGGCATCTTTCTTTCTTATGTTGCTGAGCAAAATGTTCTTCAGCAGGTGTTCCAGAAGGGTTTTCGTCTTGTATGTCTCTATTTCCCAAAACCATGGGATGTGGTTTCTCCACCTGTTCCCAAACTTCTAGGTAGGCAGAGCCCTTAGCTATATACATGTTACTTTACTGGGAATCCAAAAATCAGAGACTACTCTAGAAAAATCTGTATTTCTAATACTCTTGTTCTCAGACTTGCTTGTAAAATGGTGACTATGTCCTTCCTGATGTTCTCATTTTCATATTGTTACTTCCTTTCTACACTGTCATTCCTAACTCAGCTGATCCATGTTTAAACGTGTAAGTTACACAGTTCTTTGAGCAAAATTTAGAGCTCCCGACATACCCAAATACAAAGACGAGAGGTGAGCAGTGAAGTGCTGCTTATTTTTAGCTTTGTATGGAGTCTGTGCTGCCCGCAACACTTTGGGCAAACGGTCAAACTCCATGAATCTGTGTCATCTTAACAAGTTACTTCCCACTCCATTGAACCGATATATAATTAATTGCTGGGGATCCAATTTACAATTTCTGTTAGTTTGAGAAATGTTAAAAGAACTGCATATCCTTCCTGTGTGCTGATGTGTCCAAGCTTTGCTGGTGACATGGGGTACGTGCGCCACGGTTCACAAACTTGTTCTGCAAGTTGTTGTGATACTTACACCCCATATCCTCATAAGTCACTGAAAGTGGAGGTGGGGAGTTGCGGTGTTTTCCACTTAAAGTATGGCTTTTCACTACACAGACATATTTGCATTGGACCTCTAGAAAGGGAAGTCCTCAAGAATGCTTTATCTTGTGGGTTTTTTCTTAATGTGTTTTACTTGAGTAGGTTTTGGAGCCTGTTAGCAGTCTGAGCAAAGATGGGGAGCGTTGTACCACGCTGTTGGAGTCCATCTCAGCACTGTTTCGGTTGAACCTCATGGAATTTCTTAAGAGGAAAAAAAGGAGAATAAGCCAGGAACTGTGCTGCTTATTCAAACACCGATAGTCTGATTTCTTGCTCATTTTTTGACTTACAGACATCAAATGAGGCAAGGGAATCTGCAGAGAAGACCCATTTCTTCAATGTGCCTGCCTTCTTGACAGTTTCTGGCCAGCTCCATTTGGAAGTGATGTCAGGGTGAGCAAAATGAGAAGTTTTTGTCTTGATCTGTAGGATCTTCTTGGTCAGTAATTTTGTGCCATTGGTATCCACTAGATGTCTGCCACGTGTGTGCCAGAAACTAATTGAGCAGCAGTGGCTGGATGATGGTGTGAGAGACCAGCGTAGGCATGGGAGGATTAGACTGCTTTTTTAATTATGGTCTGTGAACTAAATACTAGGAGTGTCCTGCTTGCCATGGATTGGGAATATTGGATGGAGACGTAATCATTATGGGAATGACTGTGGGATGTTGCTAATAATTAATACCTTAAGTGACTATGTTGTTCACATCTGGCATGTCTCAGCAAGACAATCTTTTTCATTTTAAATATCACATTTCTCTTTTTCTCATTTTTTCTCAAGTTTCCTTTTTCTGTCTCCCTTCAGTCTTCCCATTGTGTTTCTTCTGCCGATTCTCATTTCTCCTGTTTCATTTCTTTCACGATGCTTTATCATAGAATAGAATCAGAATGGTTTGGGTTGAAAGGGACCTTTCAAGGTCATCTAGTCCAGCCTCCCTGTAAAAGCCAGAACATCTTCCACTAGATCAGGTTGCTCAGAGCCCCGTCCAGCCTATCTTGAATGTTTCCAGAGATGGGGCATCTACCACCTCTCTGGGCAATCTGTGCCACTGTTTCACCACTCTCATCATAAAAAAATTTCTTCTTGAAATCTGGTCTTTGTTCATTCTAGTCACTAAAGTGATCCTAGTCAAATAGTTAAAACTGACTTTGATTAAAAACAAGTTATCCTTAAGCTTTTAATGTTAATATTTCACTGAGGTTTTTAGGGGTGAAAGTGTCAGTCTGTCAAAGTTCCCTTTGATTAGGGGGTTTGGTCCTCATCTACACTGAATTCTCCCAATAAATTAACTAAATTAGTACATTAAACAGATGGAGTCAAATCAGCGCAATCCCTTATTTGAAGGCACAGTTTTCTAAGTGCTTGCAATGTGGTTTCTCCTCAGACATGGTACTTCAGCCAAATCACTGCTTGCCAGCTGAATGGCTGATAAAGCCTCTCAGAGACCACATCTCAGGCAGGTAGCACTGCAGTTGGTTTGCTGCTTGCCAAGGGGATTTGTCATGCGCTTGTAGTGACTTTAAAATCGCTTTTAAAGTGATTAGTTACTTCCAGTGGAAATCTCCTGAAGATGAGAGAGATAAAGTCCTAGCTTTAGAAAATGTAAACTTGGAAGATCTGCCTTTTCATGTGGAGGTTCTGAGTATTTCTAATAGTCTTAGCATTTGCCGTCCATGCCTTATATCCAATCTTGAGAGCCAATGTTTTTTATTTAATTGCTGTTGCACAATTTAATGGACTGCTATTAAATAGCTGCAGTGAAAATATTCAAAGGGCAAGTCTTGTGTATAAATAATAAAGGTATAACTTTCTTCAGAAAGCTGTTTTCTGCCTGGCTTGTTCTCTCTGAGACAGCCTCTGCTCACACACCTAGACGGTGGCGGTGTGCTGCAGTAAGCTAAGGGTTCTCAATGGACAGGATGTTTCTCATGGTGCCCTGGATGCTGTGACTGAAGCACAGGTCACTTGGCAGCCAAAGGCTGATGCGTCATCTTGGACGTTAGCTGGGGAAATTTAATGAGGAAGAGGTCTGTTTAACTGTAGGGGTGGTGGATTTTTTGCATCCCTGAAATAAGATGAGATGACATGCATTAGGATGTGTTAGACTTAATTGACTGTCATGCGTAGTGACCTTTATCGAAAGACGTGATTCCACGAATCAGATAAGTCTGAAGAAAAAGTATGGATTGTAATGATTAACTTGAAAACAATCTCACTCTCTTCCATCAGTCTGTTCTCTTTAAATAGTACACAGCCTGCTCTGGGATGGAGCAGAAAGCTAAAGTGGGCAGATGCAAGACCTGTCTGCTAAACATTTTTTCCACTGATATCACTCAAGTGCACCTTGCTCTCTGAGGATGGGTAAAAAAATCAATGCTCTTCAGTGTGCAGCACATCACAGCTCCATGTTCCTATTTTACAGTAGCGTGTTGTTCTTACAGTCATTTTAAATGGATCTAGTGCCATCTAAATTTAGATAAGCTGTGTTTATTCATAATGGGGCATAGCTGTTCAGTGAACCTGTTCCTTTTATTGAAGTACAGTGAGTTTTTGAGGCCTGCAGCTCAAGTGGTGTTGAATCCCTTCAGTCTTCAAAAATAGATCTTCTAGATGCAGAAGCACCATAGTGATGCATCACAGTATTAACCTTCTAGATGCTGTGAAGGTTTTATCTGTGGTTATCAAGTTGAGTCTTACTCTGTGAATGGGAGTCCTACGTGATCTTTGCATAATAGTAACCAGGGCTGCTTGGCAAATGAATGTGTTGTGATGATGCTTTCAGAGTTGTAAAAAGTGGGAGTCCTTTTTCCCCCAAAATGGAAATATTCTGATCTTCCCAATAAACAGAGCAGCCAAAACAGTAAAGATTTATGTGGTTTGGATTTAATCCTTTGAAATTTAGCCTTTGTTTTAGCCAGACTAAATTTTTCATGCACAGAAAAGGAAGTATTCTTCAAAAATTCCCTTTAGCTTAAATAAAATATTGACTAACTGCTTTCAGGAACTGCTGGTCCCTGAGAATCTGTGGGAGGAGAGAAAGGTAGGAACGCTTGGGTGACCCGTCCCCATGCAGGCCCATATCCTGTTGTGACTTGCTGTGGGAATGCAGAGACAGATCCTGCGGAATCCGTTAGAAACCAAGAGTGGAGCAGGATAGGTATGAGGGAGGAATTTGTCCATGGGGTTTATGTAGTAGGGGACAGAGTCAGCTAGGCAGTCACGTCTGTTTGGAGATAGCTTTTAGCTTTACAGAGCTCATGAGCAACCTCCAAACTGTGGTTGGAAAAATCTGGGCAGCGGAGGTATGGGAAAGACTTACCAGATGTGTCTGGAACCAAGTCTTCTGCTGTCCTTGCTGAGAGTTCCTCTGCAGCCCAGAGGGTGTCATCTGAGTACCCATGTCTGAGTGTTGTCCAGGGCTCAGGGCTCCATTTTATGGCACAGCTGCTTGGTGCTATTCCCAATAACGAGAGAGAGTAGTGAGCCATTTATAATTTGTGAGGTTTTTAAATCTTTTTCTTTGAGGAAAAGTGGGGAGGGACATGTTCCTGTATGTATTGATTGTCTGCTGTGCTGTGTATGCTTGTTATTGAAGGCAAGGGCGGAGAAGTTCATCTTGTCTCTCAATATGACATGGACGGCCTAGTTGGCACAACTTTTCATTTCATTGTGCTTCATCTTTGCAGTGACAGCATTTAGGTTGACTGCTCAGGGTGTCTGAATCATTGTCAGCTGCTGTAAATCTATAGGCTCTTTAAGGTCTCCAGAAAAGTCTTTATTCAGTAATACAGCTCGCCTCTTTAGTCTTCTCCACCTCAGATGAGTCAGTAACCAATGTATGTGGTAGAAATTTGTAGGACTCTGTGTGTCCTGATAACTGGTTTTAAAGGTCATTGGTTTGTTGTGAAGTCCTTGTGGTATTTCCTTGCCCCATGATCCTCCAGTGAGGATAAAGGTCCCTTTGGGGACCTGAACTAGGCCGGAGGGTCTGTGACAGCTGAAGATGATTCAGAGGCATACTGGAGACAGCCAAGTATAACTCACTGGCTGTATTTACTCTGTTTTTTTTTCTCACCCATCTGCACTTCCCACGAGTTCCACCTGCTCCTCTCCTTTCAGCCCCTCTTTCTAGTAGTTTCCATCATTGTTTTGCATTGATTTTCCTTGTGCCACGTTTCATCCCAGGCACTGTTTGTTCTGCCTTTTGCATTATGAGCTTGGCTAAAACTCCTCTTCCTAAAACCTCTGGGGGCAAATCACAGAATAAGGTATCACCTCGTTCCTTGTTCTCTCTAGCTCTGTTTCTTTTCACTTATCAGTAGGCTTTCAGTAGGTTTCTCCTCTCATTCATCTCACATTCTCTTGAAGTTCCTTGCAAATGAGTAAAAGGATCAGGGGCAACCTCTAGGACCTGCAAGGAGGTTATCCAGAAGACAAACCCACTCTTTGCAGTGGTGAGCAACAGGAGGACAAAAGACAACTTGGATAAGTTGAAACAAGAGAAGTTCTGAGTGGATAAAATCATTAAGAGATCAGTCAAGCACTGGAAAAGATTGCTGAGAGAAACTCACTCTTCATCCTTAGAGGTTTTTGAGACCCAGCTAGATAAAGCCTTGAGCAGCCTGGTCTGGCCTTCTCACTGACCCTGCTTTGAGTGAAGACTGGACCAGCGACCTACTGAGGTCCCTTACAGCCTGAATTATCCTGTTGTCCTAAGTTTATTCATGGCTTCATTCTTATTGTCGTTTCTACCAATCTTGTCCACAAGACCATCGCAGAGAATTATCTCTCTAGTTTACTTTCAGTTCAACATCTCTTCCCAGGACCTGTGTTTTTCTTCCTAACTTAAAATCTCAGCCTTTCATACTGACATCTGCCTGTAAATGTCTACCTATCAAAATCAGTTTAGTTAAAACATAATTAATCCCTCTCCCCTCTCTTCAAACACATCCCCTTGATTTCTAAACCATCCTGGATTTTGCCGCTGTTCTGCATAGTCCAGATATTCTCTGCAGTCTTGCAACTGGTTTTTCTTGTTGCAGAGAGACTCTAAAAAAATCTCAGACATCCACATGGTTTTAGCTGTGTCTGCCTGAGTTTGTAGAGAGTTGAAATAGTGGGTTTCCTGTTGGTTTCAGAAGATACTGAGATCACACTGATTTCGCTTTTCAAGTGCTGGTACTTCACTGCTTTTCCAAGCATGGAAGAGATGGAGAGAGATAGCTGTCATTTGGGGTTGGTGTTCAAGAAAGCACTGCGGAGCTGGAGAGAGAAGTGTTTGAGTCTGCCTCCCATAAAAGAGGCTTCATTTTCAGCAGTCTGGCAAATGCAGCCTTAAAATTTGATTCCAAAATAACTTGCTTAATGATGAAACAGACTGCATTGTCTTCAAG